AATGAGTCAAAATGGATTTGATGATGCTTACCAAAATATTGCTAATAAATAGCAATAAACTAAAACATAACACAGAGTAAAATGTTAACATTAAATATATCTCAGAGTCTAACTTGGTTATTTTATTTCCTAATTCCTTTCTAGATACATAATTTCATATTTCCATTTCAGGGCACAAATTGAGTAATTGGTTGTTAAGCATGGTGAAGGATCTGAGATTGAATTCTATTGGCTAACTAAGAAGTTAGCCTGTCAGGTTGTCATTGATACTGGAAGGAGATGAAAGATTCCTGAGTTTGAGACAGAGTATTACATTCAAGGCACAGCAAGCAATATGTACTGGTTCCCTTAGCCCTCATTCCAACCGAGCTGCCAAAAAGGAGTGATGTGATACCTGTAAAAACAGTGATGTCTTTACAGGAGAGGAACACATGAGTCAAAAATTTTTGGCCCCCTTTCAAGAGATATGCTATGTCTTCCAGAATTATAAGAAAAACTCATTTTCAATCTAGAGCTAGGTGCTCTATCATACAGGACTCCAAGTCTATTAATATACAAACAACTTGGGAAAGATTTTGTTAATAGGTGAATCCTTGTCTGTAAGACATGCAAAAATACGAGACACCCATAGAAAATTGTCTTTTATTTTTGGTAAATTCTATAATCAGCAACATCAGGACAAAAAGAAAAATTATTGACATAGTCAAAGGTTTAATCTTACTTGGATTCATAATTAACATCTGTGGAAGTAGCAATCAAGAAATAAAATAGCATATCATATTGGGAAAGTCTGCTGCAAAAGACCTTTTTAACGTGTTAAAAAGGTGACACTTTGAAGATTATGATGCACCTGACCCTCGATCCAAATAGCTCATATGCATGCAAAAGCAGGACAATGAATAGGGAAGAATGGACTAAATTTAATGCATTGAGAGCTATGGCTTTAGCAAAGTATCTGGAATATACCATGGATTTCTGGGAGAATGAGCAAACCTGTCTTGAAAAATAGTTAAGCCAGGCTGTTCCTGAGAGATGAGTATGGCAATATTTTTCTCATTTTTTTGGACACATTATCAAGAAGCAACAGTCTCCAGAGAAAGACTTCATGTATAATAAAGCTGAGGGTCAGTGAAAAAGAGGAAGATGGCTGATGATACAGATTGATACAGTGACTGCAACGATTGATGCAAGCACATTGTGGGGTTGTGAGGATGGCTCAGGACCTGGTGGGGGTTCAGTATTTTCTACATAAGGTTGCTGTAAGTTGGAACAGACTGAACAGCATCTCACAACAGCCAACTCTCTTTACATAATTCACAGGAGATGCAAAACATCTTCAGCTTCTAGACTTTTATGTTGCTCTTATGGATAGTTATTAAGCCATTGAGTTGCTATTGTTGTTCTTATGTGCAATCAAGCTGATTATGCACACATTAGAACCTTGCCCTACTCTGTGCCATCCTGAGACTCTATCGTGTGCTCCAGTCTGTTGTTACAGTCACTGTAAATCTCCGATTCACCTCGCTGAGGACCTTCCTCTCTTCCTTTGACCTTCCTTCCATCTTTCCCAGCATGATCTTTTTCCACAGACTCACTTCTACTGACAGTGTATCCAAAGTACGTGAGGTGCAGTTTCACCAGCCTTGTCTCTAAGGAGCAATTTGGTTGCATTCCCTACAAGATAGATTTCTTTGTTCTTCTGGAGGTCTTCAGTACTTTCCTCCAACACATTTCAGAGACATTGGTTTTCTGCCATTCTTATTGACTGTCCAACTTTTGGATGCATAGGAAACGGAAAAGAATATCCCTTGGGATAGGTACAATAGGCACAATTTAGTTTTTTAACTGACATCATTGCCCTATAACACTTTGGAGACAACCTTAATAGAAGATTTTCTTCAATTAGTTCCTATCTTTTGATTTCTTGACTGCTGTTGCCCTGAGTGTTGATTGTGGATCCAAGTAAAATGAAATTGTTGACTTTACACTTTTCTCCATCCATTATAATATTACCTATTGGTCCGGTGGTCTAGATTGTTGGTATAAAATAGGTTTTTCAGAATTCTTTTGGAATTTAAGTAAAATTAACAGTTTATACCACATTCAAAATATAAAAGGCATAATCACACAACATTCAGGAAGTACTTTAAATACATATTGTTTTAACAATTTCCTAATTAAAATGCAAATTCCTTCAGAATAATGTGTGTGTTAATGACTCTTGTTATACTTTCTCCATTTTTTGGTGTTAATTAGCCCAGTGATTATCTGGTGGCACAATGGCTTTGGCATTTGACCCTTAACCATTTGGCAAACTAAAATATTGGGCTCAAACTCTTTAGTCACTCTATGGGAGAATAAGTTGGCCGTCTACAGCCATAAAAATTCACCGCCTTGAAAGTCCTATAGGGCAATCCTAGTGGTTCCTACCAGCAGAGTTGATGTAAGGGCAGGTTTTTGAATGCTTTTGTTAGGTGTAACATGCAACTCTTTTCCCTTATATTTTGGTCAATCATATTTCCATTAAAGGCTGTAATCAGAGGAATCTAAAGGTTACCAAAGTATGACAATAACATTTTCCCCTCCAATACTATGCCTCCATCATTTCATATCCACAGACTCGAGGATAAATTATGCCTTATAATAGCCAAAGTTTGATAGCTGTTGCAATGAGCTGACTTGATTTAATGAGACTGTCCTACAATCTGCAAAAAAATTACCTAAGTGATAAGATTCAATAATAAATACTGTCCTTAGAGAAAATACTTTCTCTTTTGAAACAGTATATGCAATGAACATTCTAGTTCAGACTCCTTTTAGTTTATGATTCCAGTATGTTGCATAAAACTGAGGCAAACACATATATGTCTAGAAACACTTTAGTATGAGGTGAGAAATGACAGTTTCTTCATTTGAGCTCTACACAGGAACAGGGATAGTGTGTGAGTCTCTGTGTGCACAAAATGTATTGATTTGTTGGTGTTCTTTTGTTCATCTGTTCAATAGGAATTCAGCAGTCAAGAGTTTATGGCTGAAATACTATCCATAATAAGTTTCTCTGGAGGCTTAATTATCAACAAAGCTTTGGAACCCCCAGGTTTCTCTTCCTAAATTAAACATTTCTGTCAACATCAACAACCGAGCAAAGTACAAAATGTTTCCGTACTCCTTCCCCATCTAAATCACCTCCTCCAGGAACTCCAAGATGTGTCAGCATGAATTACCATCTACACCAGCTCCTCGCCCCGCTGCTCTGGGGTCTGGAGCACAAAGGGTGGGAGAGGGGCGTGGGGCGGCTGGCCGGGCGCGGCCGCCTGGGGAGCTGGCTGGGGAGTGGGACCCCAGCGCGCGTGGTGAACTTGGGGCTGGACAGATCTCCACGCCCTGGAAAACTCTGTGCTGCCCCACGGAGCCCGCGAGAGGGTGGCGGAGTGCGTGCGCGAGCTGAGAGCGCTTACGTCGCCTCGAGAGCGGAGCCGCGATAATTAAGAGAGGAGTTGGGCTGA